ATGGGCAAGTATTGGTACTCCAGGCGCACCGCCTACATCGAGAGGCGCGCCGTCGTTCTGGCCAGGGTCGTCGGTCCGGCCTGCTCGGCCTGCGAGGCCTTCCTGCCCACCCCCCAGCCAGGTCGACCAGCTCACGAGTCGGGTGGTTTTCTTTGGGCGCAAGGCGATGAAGGGGGCCGCTACGTCTTGGGAAGGTGGGAACGCACGTTCTATCCCTTCTGAGGCCGTCTTGAGGTACTGGAAGGTTCCCCCGCTGGAGGTTGAGTTTCGGGTCCGACGTCTGCGCTGGTACCAGAAGTGGGCCCTCGATCCTGCTAGGCACCTGAGCGAGTGGGCCCCCATCTTCGGCGACCTCAAAATCGAACAGCTGAGGAGCTCAGACTTCGAGGCGCTTCGGAAGGTCTCCACGGACATAGAGGAGGAGATGAGGTCTTGGACGGGCGCCCCACTGGACTTCTTCGATGAGGGGGATCTGCGGGACTGGTTCACCGAGCTCGGCCTCTCGATCGTCAGGGCTGCGTGGCTCTCCGTCAGTGTCCCTCCTCCAGGCCACCCCCATCAGGCTCCTGTACCTCCAGAGGCACCAGCAGGCCACGTTGAGGGAGTTCGATGCACGATCGACGGCTGCGACAAATGGTTCCGTACCAAGAGACAGTGGCTGGTTCGCGTTTGGGCGGCTCATGGCTTCAAGACCCTTCTCGCGGAGGCTACCCAGGGTACTTCGTGCTTCGTGTGCTGCAGTAGGTTCCAGAGTCGCAATTCGGCGTACAACCACGTCTTGGACTCGTTCGCTTCGGGCTTCTGCAAGCACCAGCTTAGCACCACACTCGAGCTCGTCGTCCCCGATGGCCCCTTTACGTGTCGGCTGTGTGAGGCTCAAGTTTCGACCGAGGCTGATCTTCATACCCACACCAGAGTCCATTTCGAGGACTTGCCGCTAGTACTGATCGATGGACTTCGAGGAGCCCACCTGGGCCGCGAAACGCAAGCAGGGGGACCGCGCACCCAGCGAGGTCAAGAAGGCCCGCCTGCTGCAAGAGATCGGGGAGCAAGCTCAGGCCAACCAGAAGGGCGGCAAGGGCGGGGCGCTGGCGGCTCTGCTGCTGGTCCTCACGAAGCTCGCTCTCACCAACGCGTGCGAGCTGGCCGAGGTGACTGGCGCTTGCTTCACGTGCTACATGGTCGGCGCGGGCGTGGGTTTTGCGAAGGTACTGCAAGAGGCGGGGCGCGCGTACGCAGAGAGCTGCAAGGCGGACGGCAAGGAGCACAAGTACGGGCCACCTTGGCCCCACGTGTTCAAGGCCTTCATCAAGTGGGCCTGCACGGACGGCAAGGAGACGTCGCCCGAGGAGGCCCAGGCAGTCTTCAAGAGCTACTGGCAGACGGTAATCATGAAGGAGAACGCGCTGGAGTTGATGGCCGTCCACTGCCGCCACTTCCGCATCAAGGCCTGCTGGTACGACAAGAAGAAGACGCAGGCCCCAGACCGCTTCACGCTATAGATCATGCTGGGGGTCCAGCAGCAGGCCAACAAGTGGGAGGGCTGCCAGTACACTTTGATGGAGGCGCTGCAGGTGACATTGCTGGCGGCGGGTGACAAGGACAACACGGTGACCTACCTCCCAGGATCGCCACCGAGAGGGGGGCTGGAGCGCGAGGCGTCCAGGCTCGTGCAGAGGCTGGGCCTCAAGGACAAGCCAGAGGACGAGGACGAGTGAGACCCTCGGCAGTGAGGGCACGTCTGACGGCGGTGAACGGCTCTCGCCGCGCTGCCGAGCTGTATCTCCAGGGTCACCTGTCTGATGCTCCTCTCCTCGCCCTCCAGGCTCGGACCTCCACTCCAATTCTCGAGTATTCAGACGGCGACCTGGAGGTTAGGGTGTTTTTCAGGTCTTCCCCAATTCAGGCTTTCCTGGACGCCGCGAGCTTTCGGGCGCTGTCCGAGGCCCCCCGCCAGCTGCGCCTTGTCGAGAGCACTCTGGGGGGACGGCCGGCTCGAGGGGTCCACGCGGACCTCGGACGTCTGGGCCGTGCCGCGCCGTGAGTCCTAGTTGGGGTTGTGCTGGGGTAGGCTTACTCGTCGCCTGCCTCTGGCTCTGTAGAGTGTGGGAGTGCATAGGCGAGCCCTCGTGTTCTTCCCTCTGGAAGGTCTCGCTTTTGCCTGAAATATCCCCCTGCAAGGCCCCGTAGATTCTCGGGCCCCTCAAATGGTTCTCGAACACCTGATCCGCTTTTGTTGTCCTCTGGCCCTGCGTGGTGCCGTAGGCTTGAGGCATTTTGATTCATCGGATCATTGGTGCTGCTCTGCTCTGCTCTCCTCCTCCTGCTCGCCATCCTCCTGTGGCAACTCCTTTTCCTCCCTTACCCCGCTCCTCATCATTCTCCCTCTGTCTTCTCCCTCCTGCTCCGTCTCCCAGTGGGGGGATGCGAGTTGGATCAGGTGTGATTGATGTGATTGATGGAGGAGGAGGAGGAGGAGGAGGAGGAGGAAGAGGTGGAGGAGGAGGGGGAGGAGGAGGAGGAGGAGGAGGGAGAGTAGGATGATCAAGAGGAGGATTGGAGGAACAGGAGGAGAAGGAGAAGGAGGAGGAGGGGGAACATTCAAAACAGCAAACAAGCAACACCAGCTAACACACAAACCAAGCAACACAAACAATGTTTTGAACGGGTTCGCCTTCAGTCTGGATTCTCCCCAACGCACTTTTTTGACTTTTCCAACGGTCTGAAGGAACGAAGAGGAGGTGGATCAGGAGGAGTTCTGCTTCTCCCGGGGAGAAGGATGATGAGGAGGAGGTACAACAAGAGAAAGGAATACTCGCGTTGAAATGGCTGAAGAGGGTCCCCTCCACTCCCACGGGAGTCCCATGCCAAGAATCTTGAAACACTTGAAACCGCGGGGTGACGTTATGCACCAACCGCAGAGCACCATACCTGGGACTTCAATACCGCGTATCAGCGATGCTGTTGTGTCCAGATAATCCTAAATCAGACCAGAACACACCTCTTGGGACTTCAATCCTGCAAACCCTTGACACAGCTGTATATATATATATATATATTTTTTTTTTTTTTTTTTTTTTTTTTTTTTTAAAAAAAAAACAAACAAAACAAAAAAAACGAATGCGAGCGGCGTTAAGGCAAGACCCATATGTTGAAACCGAACTGCCCTCAACCCGTGAAGCTGTTGTAAGTTCAAGCTTCAGAGCGGTACAAGGCGATGCAATCTCAAGCGAAATGCCTGGCCCGCCCTACCGACACGTCTGGGCGCGCAACAGGGAGGAGTTATTCAGAGTGAAAAAGGATGCAGGAGGAGGAGACGGAAAAGGAGGAGGGAAACTCGGAGGGGAAGGAAAAGGAGAATACTTAATATTAGGACGAGGAGGTGGTGGAGAAAAAGGTGGTCGAGAAGGCAGGATGAGGACGATGAGGGCGAGGAGGATGAGGACGATAGCACAAGGAAGAGGAGGATGAGGAGGGGGAGGAGGAGGAGAAGGAGGAGGAGTAGGAGGAGGAGGAGGGGATGAGGACGATGATAAGAGGAGGATGAGGAGGAGGAGAGGAGAGGAGGGATGAGGACGATGACAAAAAGAAGAAGGAGGAGGAGGAGGAGGAGGAGAGAGGAGGAGGGGGAGGAGGCGAAGGGATGAGGACGATGACAAAAAGAGGAGGAGGAGGAGGAGGAGGAGGAGGAGGAGGAGAAGGAGGAGGAGGAGGAGGAGGAGGAGGAGGAGGAGGAGGAGGAGGAGGAGGAGGGAGGAGGAGGAGAAGAGACGAGGTCGATGACAAAAAGGGGATGAGGAGAAGGAGGAGGATGAGGAGCAGGAGCAGGAGGAGGGAGGTGAGGAGGAGGAGGATTAAGAGGCCGAGAAGGGGCCCCAGGCCCAGCCGCGACTGGCGCGCCACCCCGAAGACGGTGGAGCGAGCGGCCGGCGCGTTGCCGCTGGCGCCCACGCGTACGGCTCTCTGGTGCCGGCGCTCTGGACGAGCACGCCGAGCGAAGCACGACCGCGCCACTCCCAGACCTCAGGCGTCTCGGAAAAATCGGGACGGAGGTTTTCCTTAGTTTTCGACCTCTCGGTCTCGGGGCCTTTACTAGGCCTCGGAACCGTCAAAGTACGACTCGGGATGAAAATCTGGTCTCAAGGAAGTGGTCGAGAGGTCGGGGTCCCGTGTCTCAACCACATTTAACACAAATTGAGACGCTGGATGTCGGGGCTTCGGGGTCCCGAAAGGGTGCGGTGACGGACCATGCGGTGATCTCGGAATCCCCCCAAAAGACCTCACCGCACGGTCCGTCACCGCACGGTTTTTGGGACCCTGAAGCTCCAGTCGCCCGAGACGTCCTCGGAGAACGACCCTTGTCCCCAAACCGTGCGGTCACCCAGAATCCCCACTGACTCACCACACGGTGCGTTCACCGCACCGTTTGGGGACCTCCGAGCCGTATGTCAGTGACTGGATGTGACTGGTGACCGGCTAAGCACGATTCTTTTATTTGTTGGTCTGGACGTGTCAGGATGAGCACGTGGACCTCGCACGTATCCTCCTACCCCACGGTATCCTCACATGAGGACTAGCTAAGCAGGAGGAAAGGGATCTTGCACAATGACATCTTCGCCCAAGACATACGAACCACCACGTCTGGCACTTCCGGGTGAGTCGTCGTCGTCGTCGTCGCCGTCGTCGTCGTTGTTGTCGCTATCGTCGACGTTGTCAAGATAAAATCTGCTTAATACCGGCCCCTGGACCCGCATCCCTCATGGTGGTCGTCCTGGTCAGCCCTTCGAGCTGCGTCCAGCCGTGGTGAGGAGAAACTCCAGAAACGACCAAACATCTCCGCAACGACGACGACGACGTCGACGCCGCCGTCATCGCCGTCGCCGTCGCTGTCGCCGTCGCCGTCGCCGTCGCCGTCGCCGCAGCCGCCGCCGCCGCCGCCGCCGCCGCCGTCGTCGTCGTCGTCGTCGTCGTCGTCGATGTCGTCGTCGGGCGGTGTCTACCTGTAGGACCCCGGTGGCGGACGCGGTGCACGGCAGCCGCACGTCCACCTGGAGCTCCCCGTCCCTCCACGTGGGGATGACGTCCTCCACTGGGTCGCGGGGGGGCCTCCTCTTCCTCCAGGGGGGGAGGGAAGGGGGGGGAGACAGTACATGGACAAAGTACTCGAACCCTCGCACACTTGAGGGGGATGCTCATCATCCCCCGGCCCCCGAAATCAATGTTGGTTTCAGCATGGGTGGTGGCTCGGGGGTTCGAATAGTTCTGTCAATCTCCATTGCCGCACCCCCAATATTGATTTTTGGGATCCGGAGGGGTATCTTGCGCCGCAGGGTTCGAACTTATTGTCCATGTGCGGGAATGGGCGCCGCACGTTTGGTTGTTGAGTTCTGATTAAAAACATGATCGACCCACGAACCCGGAAAGGAATATAGAAATGTAAGGCATGGCGGCGTTTCAAAAACACCTGATTGGGAGACGGGCAAGTGCAATGCTGAGTGTATCGATCTTTATGTACCGTGCCGACGGCCGTCCTGTGCTGCGCCGTTCTGAATTGCAATGCGCCATGCCGCGATTGTGCTCTATAGCGTTGTGGATCGAGTCCACCTTTGCATCCGAGTCCTGACCGAACTGATCTGGATCTTAAGCTCGAGCTGCCTGAGCACATAGTAGCTGCCCAAGAGCTAATTGACAGGGGGGACATACTAATTAGGAGAACTCGCCGCGGAACGTCCCAAGGGACGCGCCAGGCGACGTGCCAGGGGACGTGCCATGGGGACGCACCGCGGGACGTGCCAAAGGGACGCGCTGCGGAACGTGCCAATGGACGTGCCATGGGACGTGCCAGGGGACGCGCCGCGCGACGTGCCAGGGGGACTCGCCACGGGACGCGCCAAAGAACGTGCCAAGGAACGTGAAAAGGTGTAATGTTGTGTGTATCGATCTTGATGTACCGTGCCGACGGCTGTGCTGTGCTGCGCCGTGCTGAATTGCAATGCGCCATGCCGCGATTGTGCTCTATAGCGTTGTGGATCGAGTCCTCCTTTGCATCCGAGTCCTCACCGAACTGATCTGAATCTTAAGCTCGAGCTGCCTGATCACATAGTAGGTACCCAAGAGCTAATTGACAGGGGGGCATGCTAGGAGGACGCGCCGCTGAACATCCCAAGGGACGCGCCAAGCGACGTGTTAAGGGACGTGCCATGGGGACGCATCGCAGGAGCTGCCAAAAGGACGCGCTACGGAACGTGCCAATGGACGTGCCACGGGACGTGCCAAGGGACGCGCCGCACGACGTGCCAGGGGGTCTCGCCACGGAACGCGCCAAAGAACGTGCCAAAGTGCAATGTTGAATGTAACGATCATGATGTACCGTGCCGACGGCTGCGCTGTGCTGGGCCGTGCTGAATTGCGATGTGCCATGCCGCGATTGTAACGATATTGATGTACCGTGCCGACGGCTGTGCTTTGCTGGGCCGTGCTGAACTGCGATGTGCCATGCCGCGATTGTGCTCTATGTAGCGTTGTGGGTCGAGTCCTCTTTGCATCCGAGTCCTGCCCGAACTGATCTGGATCTTAAGCTCGAGCTGCTTGAGCAGATGGTAGCTGCCCCAGAACGAATTGACAGGGGGACATGCCAGGAGGACGCTGCGGAACGTCCCAAGGGACGCGCCAGGCGACGTGCCAGGGGGCGTGCCATGGGCACGCACCGCGGGACGTGCCAAGGGGACGCGCTACGGAACGTGCCAATGGACGTGCCATGGGACGTGCCAGGGGGGCTCGCCACGGGACGCTCCGCGGAACGTGCCAGGCAACATGCCAGGCTGCAATGCAATGGGTATCGATATTGATGTACCGTGCCGAGGGCTGTGTTGCGCCAGGGCGACCTGGCCACGTGAAAACACGCGTTTCGATCAAGACGTTCTCAGCACATCCTCATGATGGACATCCGCCTGGGCAACCTGAACACGTGCAAACAAGCGTCTCGATCGAGATTTCCTCGACACATCCTCATGCTAGACATCCGCCTGGGCGGCCTGGACATGTGAAGACAAGCCTTTGGTTCGAGACATCCTCGACACATCCTCATGCTAGACATCTGTCTGGGCAACCTGGAGGCGTGAAACCAAGCGTCTCGGTCGAGACATCCTCAAGACCTGGGCACGTGAGAACAAGCATTTCACTTGAGAGATCCTCAGAATTCTGGTCCCCAGGAGAGGACAATCTATGACACAAAGCAAGCGTTTCGCTCGAGACATCCTCAACAAATTCTGAAAAAAACAAGCGTTTCGCTCGAGACATCCTCAAATTTTAATTCGCCGGCCCTCTTCCCACTCGTTATTGATCGCAAAAAAAATCCGCCGGCCCTCTTCCCGTCAGCCCCGGGGGTAAACCTACTAAAAGAGAACCCTGGGCCTACGCCCTTTCAGGGAAAAACCATTGTTGATCCCTGACTCCGGTAACCAATGTATTTTTCAATCAGAATGCTTCTCCCCGGGCTCGCACCCAGTTTTTAACAAGGAGAAATGAAAGGTCACCAAACTGCGCTGTTGGCCCCTGAAATACAACAATAATGGCTCCCGCCTGATACTTCACAACTTATTGAAACTAGGCGCTCTCGCGTGGGACTTCCTCATAACTAGAGCATGAGTCGGGCTCTCGGGTGGGACTTCCTCACGATTTATTGAAATGCCGCGCCCTCGACACTCAGGAATCCCGCTTTCGCTGTGGCCTTTCTCGCCATGTATTTGGGAATCGCGCTATCGTTCGGGCGCTTCTCGCGATTCATGCAGTACTTACGCTTCAACAACACGTCTTCTCGACCTAACAATTTGGGCCGGCCTTCCCGACCCGCCAATTACTTTTCACCCGCCCGATGGGCGCGTCTGGTTCTGCCGCGTGCTTTCTGCTCCTGGCCCCCCCCCTGCAAATTTCTCTCGTGCTCCCTTCTCCTTCCTCCTCCTTGTCCCTTCCTTTCATACGTCCTTTCTTGCCCTGCCTCAGAGGCTGCACGAAATACACGTTACAGGTAAGACATATATACCCGTAATGGGGGTACGATCGAAGACGACGAGGCCGGGTATCGAGGGTTCGGGATCTAAGCGTTGAGTGGCACGTGAACGAATAAGAACGAACAGACTAAAACTGATTATTGCTGCTGCTGCTGCTGCTGCTGCTGCTGTTGTTGTTGTTGTTGTTGTTGTTGTTGTTGAACATTATTACTTCTAAAGAATAATTATTGTTGGGACCCCTGGTGCACGGCCCCCCCGCCGCGCCTAGGCCGCAGCCACATTTTCATCATTTTCGTGAAGAAGTCTCAGGCAAAACGGGTTGGTCCGGATCCGGTTGTTTTGTTCCCCCCCGCTTTCCCTTGCAAAAAATAAGCTAAAGTGGACATTTCTTGTTCTAACATAACCAAACTTCAAGAATCCCTTGCAAAAAATAAGGTAAAGTGGACATTCGCGCGCGCAAGACGAAATCCTTCCAAAACCTTAGTTTTCGTAGCGATTTTAACATAAAAACATCAAAAAACCAATGGTTTTTTTTTTTCAAAAAAATTGTCAAAATTTCATCCCGCGCGCTCTTGCGGATTCGTAGGAAACCCAACACTTTTTAAACATTTCTGTCAAACGGGCTTTTGCGAGCAACTTTTTCGAACTTCTGCAACAACGGTTGCGCACCTGCCAGGGCCATCATCCCTGTCAAATAATACCATGCGGGACACATTCGTTTTTTCTTCGCGCGCGCACGCCGTCGTCGTCGGCCGCGGGGCCCTGAATAGTAGCCACGGTCGTCCGCATGCCACGAAGTGAAGTGTCCGAACGTCATAGGGCGGGAAGCTGGGTGTGGGTGGTGGCGAAGAGTCGTTTGGAAATTTGGTAGAGCTTGAACCGGCCCCCCCACAAAGTGGGGGTATTGCCCGCCTCCTATGAAACCCTGGCACTGGTGAGAACGGAGTGTCCCCACGTGCTAGTAATTGTTGTTGTTGTTGTTGAACATTATTACTTCTAAAGAATAATTATTGTTGGGACCCCTGGTGCACGACCCCCCCGCCGCGCCTAGGCCGCAGCCTCATTTTCATCATTTTCGTGAGGAAGTCTCAGGCAAAACGGGTTGGTCCGGATCCGGTTGTGTTGTTACGATCGGTTTTCCCTTGCAAAAAATAAGCTAAAGTGGACATTTCTTGTTCTAACATAACCAAACTTCAAGAATCCCTTGCAAAAAATAAGGTAAAGTGGACATTCGCGCGCGCAAGACGAAATCCTTCCAAAACCTTAGTTTTCGTAGCGATTTTAACATAAAAAACATCAAAAAACCAATGGTTTTTCAAAAAAAAATGTCAAAATTTCATCCCGCGCGCTCTTGCGGATTCGTAGGAAACCCAACACTTTTTAAACATTTCTGTCAAACGGGCTTTTGCGAGCAACTTTTTCGAACTTCTGCGACAACGGTTGCGCACCTGCCAGGGCCATCATCCCTGTCAAATAATACCATGCGGGACACATTCGTTTTTTCTTCGCGCGCGCACGCCGTCGTCGTCGGCCGCGGGGCCCTGAATAGTAGCCACGGTCGTCCGCATGCCACGAAGTGAAGTGTCCGAACGTCATAGGGCGGGAAGCTGGGTGTGGGTGGTGGCGAAGAGTCGTTTGGAAATTTGGTAGAGCTTGAACCGCCCCCCCACAAAGTGGGGGTATTGCCCGCCTCCTATGAAAACCCTGGCACTGGTGAGAACGGTGTGTCCCCACGTGCTAGTAATTGTTGGTGTTGTTGTTGTTGTTGTTGTTGTTGTTGTTGTTGTTGTTGTTGTTGTTGTTGTTGTTGAATTCTGATTTCTGAAGAATGATTATTGTTGATCCCCCCACTGGTGCATACTGCTTTTTCTCAATCAAAGTGTGCCCCTCGACGCTCGCACCCTGTTTTTTGACAGTGAAAGTCTTCCTGCTCAAACTGGGCCCTTGGCCCCTGGGTTACAACAAAAACGGCTCCCGCCCGAGACTTCCTTACAATTTAGCCAGGACCCCCGCTCCCGCCTGAGATTTCCTCGCATTTTATTCAGGAATCGCGCTCTCGCTTGGGACTTCATTACAATTTATGCAGGAATCGCTTTCCCGGCGCTCTGGAGTCGCGCTCTCGCTGGAGACTTGCTTGCAACTTACTGAACAATGGCCTTGCGTTGGGATTTCCTGCGATTTGCCCAAGCGCCGCGCTCCCGACACCCAGGAACCCAGGAGTCGCGCCCGTTGTGGCCCCATGTGCGTGCCCTTCGTGGCCCCGCTGTCGCCATTTGTGTCCCCCTCACTGTCCTACGTGGCCCAGTTGCTACCCTCAGTGGCCCCATAGTTGCCTTCTGTGGCCCCGCATTATCTGCACTTCGTGGCCCCCGCGTTCGCGCTCTTCGTGGCCCATACGCATTCGTGCCCTTCGTGGCCCTGCGTGTCGTTCTCTCTCGCTCTCGCTTTCGCTCGTCGTCGCCGTCGTCGTCGTCGTCGCCGTCGTCTTCGACGTCGTCGTCGTCGTCGTCGTCTTCGTCGTCGTCGTCGTCGTGGTCGGTCCCCTGTCCGTCCCTCTTGGGGTCGGGTCGACGGTCCGCGGCCGCCCCGCCGATCAACGCTGCCGCTGGCCAGGCCGACGGTCCGCGGCCGGCCCGCCGCTTGCCGGGGCCTGGCCTGCCAGGAAAGAAAGGTATACCCCCCAAGGGTTTTCGATCGAAGACGAAAAGAGCGGGTATCGAGGATTTTGGAAATACGCGTTATTGGACAGTCGAGCATATAAGGGCGAACAGTCTTAAACTTATTATTGTTGTTGTTGATGTTGTTGTTGAATTCTCATTTCTACACAATAATATGTATTGTTGATCCCCCCTCGCCGGTGAAGCGTGGGTCCTGCATGAATCGCGAGGAAGTATCGAATGGTAGCGCGATTCCCAAGTAAATCGTGAGAGAGCCAAAAGCGAGAGCGTGATTCCTGAGTGCCGAGGGCGCATCGTCTGAATAAATTGCAAGGAAGTCCCACGCAATTCGCACGAAATTGTGAAGAATCCCGCGCGCGAGCGCGATTCTTCAATACATTTCGGGGAAGTATCAGGCGGGAGCCGTTCTTGTTGTAGCCGGGGTGCCAGGGGCGCAGTTTGAGGTGGAAGACTTTCCTTGATAAAAAACATGGTGCGAGCCCCAGGAGGGGCACTTCAATTGAAACATGATCGACCCACGAACCTGGAAAGGAATATAGGAATGTAAGGTATTGCAATGTTTCAAAGACACCTGATTGCGCGACGGGCACATGCAATGCTGAATGTACCGATGATGATGTACTGTGCCGAAGGCTGTGCTGTGCTACGCCGTGCTGAACTGCGATGTGCTATGCCGCGATTGTGCTCTATATAAAGCGTTGTGGATCGAGTCCTCCCTGGCATCCGAGTCCTCACGGAACTGATCTGGATCGTAAGCTCGAGCTGCCTGAGCAGATGGTAGCTGCCCCAAAACTAATCGACAGAGGGAACATGCCAGGAGGACGCGCCGCGGAACGTCCCAAGGGACGCGCCAGGCGACGTGCCAGGGGACGTGCCATGGGCACGCACCGCGGGACGTGCGAAGGGGCCGCGCTACGGAACGTACCAATGGACGTGCCGAGGGACGTGCCAGGGGACGCGCCGCGCGACGTGCCAGGTGGACTCGCCACGGAACGCGCCAAGGAACGCGCCAAGGTGCATAGTTGAGTGTATCGATCTTGATGTACCGTGCCGACGGCTGTGCTGTGCTGTGCTGGGCCGTGCTGAACTGCGATGTGCTATGCCGCGATTGTGCTCTATACTTCGGGGGTACTAAAGTTTTTGACCATAAGATGAGAATTGCCTCGCTGGTCACGCGTGCCGCGGAGGACCGATCAGGATGCAAAAGTGCCTCGATGCGGATTCGCGAGCCTTTGTGGGCCCTCTGGGACGGCCAACCAGTGAACCGAGAGCGACCGCATTGGAGAAGGATGCCCAGGGTCTCACAGCATCAATGCAACAAGGAATGCAATGAAACATCGCGTTGGCATGATAAGGACAGGGTCGATGGGGATGATGACACGGACGATCAAACGTGACCCAAGCGGAGTGGTTCACTGTGAATGGGTTCAAGTCGGAGTGTTTTCCGGCCCTATTGTAAATGGGACGGAGTAATTATCACCCTGTTTTAAATATATATTATTATATTCTTGCAGGGTGAGAGCTCATCGGAGTCGAACCGCCGCCCGACCCAAAACATGCCGCTAAGATTCTACGGGGGGGCAGGGGGCGTCGAGAGCATGACGTCTTATGGTCAAAACTATAGTGCCCCCCCCGTGCGGACTTTTCTCACCTGCACGGCCAACGGCCAGGGCAGATGGAGTGCTCACCCGCGCGGCAAACGGCCGACGCTGATGAGTTGTCCACCTGTGAACGCGCCAATGCGGCCCGGGGGCTTGGCCCGCTCAGAAGCCCGTGGCCGCGCCCTTCTTGCGCACCACTTCCCTGAAGACGCGCTTCATCAGCTTCAGGTATTGAGCCACAGCGGCTGCAAAGATGATGGAGATGACGATGATGATTACGGGGGGGCAGGGGGCGTCGAGAGCATGACGTCTTATGGTCAAAACTATAGTACCCCCCGTGCGGACTTTTCTCACCTGCACGGCCAACGGCCAGGGCAGATGGAGTGCTCACCCGCGCGGCAAACGGCCGACGCCGATGAGTTGTCCACCTGTGAACGCGCCAATGCGGCCCGGGGGCTCGGCCCGCTCAGAAGCCCGTGGCCGCGCCCTTCTTGCGCACCACTTCCCTGAAGACGCGCTTCATCAGCTTCAGGTATTGAGCCACAGCGGCTGCAAAGATGATGGAGATGACGATGATGATTGGCGGCGGCGAGAACCCATTTTGCCCGGACTTTTCTCACCTGCGCGGCCAACGGCCAGGGCAGATGGAGTGCTCACCCCGCGCCACGGCCGACGCTGATGAGTTTCCGGGACCTGTGAACGCGCCAAGGCGGCCCGGGGGCTTGGCCCCGCTCAGAATGCCCCTTGGCCGCGCCCTTCTTGCGCACCACTTCCCTGAAGACGCGCTTCATCAGCTCCAGGTATTGAGCCACAGCGGCTGCAAAGATGATGGAGATGACGATGGTGATTGGCGGCGGCGAGAACCCATTTTGCCTGCGGACTTTTCTCACCTGCACGGCCAACGGCCAGGGCAGATGGAGTGCTCACCCGCGCGGCAAACGGCCGTCGCTGATGAGTTGTCCACCTGTGAACGCGCCAATGCGGCCCGGGGGCTTGGCCCGCTCAGAAGCCCGCGGCCGCGCCCTTCTTGCGCACCACTTCCCTGAAGACGCGCTTCATCAGCTTCAGGTATTGAGCCACAGCGGCTGCAAAGATGATGGAGATGACGATGATGATTGGCGGCGGCGAGAACCCATTTTGCCTGCGGACTTTTCTCACCTGCACGGCCAACGGCCAGGGCAGATGGAGTGCTCACCCGCGCGGCAAACGGCCGACGCTGATGAGTTGTCCACCTGTGAACGCGCCAATGCGGCCCGGGGGCTTGGCCCGCTCAGAAGCCCGTGGCCGCGCCCTTCTTGCGCACCACTTCCCTGAAGACGCGCTTCATCAGCTCCAGGTATTGAGCCACAGCGGCTGCAAAGATGATGGAGATGACGATGATGATTGGCGGCGGCGAGAACCCATTTTGCCTGCGGACTTTTCTCACCTGCACGGCCAACGGCCAGGGCAGATGGAGTGCTCACCCGCGCGGCAAACGGCCGACGCTGATGAGTTGTCCACCTGTGAACGCGCCAATGCGGCCCGGGGGCTTGGCCCGCTCAGAAGCCCGTGGCCGCGCCCTTCTTGCGCACCACTTCCCTGAAGACGCGCTTCATCAGCTTCAGGTATTGAGCCACAGCGGCTGCAAAGATGATGGAGATGACGATGATGATTGGCGGCGGCGAGAACCCATTTTGCCCTTCGGGGGTACTAAAGTTTTTGACCATAAGATGAGAATTGCCTCGCTGGTCACGCGTGCCGCGGAGGACCGATCAGGATGCAAAGGTGCCTTGATGCGGATTCGCGAGCCTTTGTGGGCCCTCTGGGACGGCCAACCAGTGAACCGAGAGCGACCGCATTGGAGAAGGATGCCCAGGGTCTCACAGCATCAATGCAACAAGGAATACAATGAAACATCGCGTTGGCATGATAAGGACAGGGTCGATGGGGATGATGACACGGACGATCAAACGTGACCCAAGCGGAGTGGTTTACTGTGAATGGGTTCAAGTCGGAGTGTTTTCCGGCCCTATTGTAAATGGGACGGAGTAATTATCACCCTGTTTTAAATATATATTATTATATTCTTACAGGGTGAGAGCTCATCGGAGTCGAACCGCCGCCCGACCCAAAACATGTCGCTAAGATTCTACGGGGGGGCAGGGGGCGTCGAGAGCATGACGTCTTATGGTCAAAACTATAGTACCCCCCGTGTATAGCGTTGTGGATCGAGTCCTCCCTGGCGTCCGAGTCCTCACGGAACTGATCTGGATCGTAAGCTCGAGCTGCCTGAGCAAACGGTAGCTGCCCCAGAACTAGTCGATAGAGGGAACATGCCAAGAGGACGCGCCGCGGAACGTCGCAAGGGACGCGCCAGGCGACGTGCCAGGGGACGTGCCATGGGCACGTACCGCGGGACGTGCCAAGGGGCCGCGCTACGGAACGTGCCAATGGACGTGCACCGCGCGACGTGCCAGGGGGACTCGCCACAGGACGCTCCGCGGAACGTGCCAGGCAACATGCCAAGCTGCAATGCTAAGGGTATCGATATTGACGTACCGTGCCGAGGGCTGTGCTGTGCCTGGGCGACCTGGACACGTGAAAACACGCGTTTCGCTCAAGACGTTGTCAGCACATCCTCATGCTAGACATTCGCCTGGGCAACCTGGACACGTGCAAACAAGCGTCTCGATCGAGATTTCCTCGACACATCCTCATGCTAGACATCCGCCTGGGCGGCCTGGACACGTGAAAACAAGCCTCTTGTTCGAGACATCCTCAACAAATCCTCATGCTAGACATCTGTCTGGGCCACCTGGAGGCGTGAAAACAAGCGTCTCGCTCGAGACACCCTCAAGACCTGGGCACGTGAAAACAAGCAATCCACTTGAGAGATCCTCAGAATTCAGGTCCCCAGGAGAGGACAAGCTATAACACAAAACAAGCGTCTCGCTCGAGACATCCTCAACCAATTCTGAAAAACAAGCGTTTCGCTCGAGACATCCTCAAATTTTAATTCGCCGGCCCTCTTCCCACTCGTTATTTATCGCAAAAGAAATCCGCCGGCCCTCTTCCCGTCAGATCCGGGGGTAAACCTCTGAAAGAGAACCCTGGGCCTGCGCCCTTTCCGGGAAAACACATCTGTTGCCGGAGGGGGGGATTAACAATGAGTTTTCTTCAAAAAGGGAAAGGTCAACAACAACAACGGCTCCCACCTGATACGTTCTCACGATGTATTCCCACATCGCACTCTCGCGCGGAACTTCCGCACAATGTATTGATGAATCGCGCTCTCGCGTGGGATTTCCTCTCAATCTGTTCAGACGCCGCGCCCTCGACACTTACAGCTCACGCTCTTGCTTTGGATTCCCTCATCACTTATTTGGGAGTCGCACCATCGCTCGAGCTCTCCTTGCGATCCATGCAGGACGCACGTTTCCGCCACCCGCCTGCTCGAGCTGGCTGCCTGGGCCTGCCTTCCCGACCCGCCCGTGAAGACCTACGCGCCCGATCTGCCCGTCTGGTTCTGCCACGTGCCGTCCGCTCCTGGCCCCCCCTCCCGGTACTCTCTCTCGTGCGGAAGCCTCCTCCCGAGCCCATCCGTTTGGGCACGCTTCAGCAACACGTCCTCTCGACCTGGCCGTGTGGGTCCGCCTTCCCGACCCGCCAATTACTTTTCACCCGCCCGATGGGCGCGTCTGGTTCTGCCGCGTGCTTTCTGCTCCTGGCCCCCCTCCTGCACATTTCTCGTGCTCCTTCCTCCTCCCTCCTCCTTGTCCCTTCCTTCCATCCGTCCTTTCTTCCCCTGCCTTAGGGGGTCCACGAAATACACGTTGCAGGTAAGAAATGTATGCCCTTGAAAGAGGGTGCGATCAAAGAAGAAGAAGAAGAAGAGGGAGGGTATCGAGGGTTTGGATACACGTGTTGAATGGCACGCAAGAAGATACAAGCGAACATTATTAAACTGATTGTTATCGTTGTTGTTGTTGGTGGTGGTGTTATTGTTTTGTTTTCTCCCAATGACTACACCTACATGCGAGTGGCCGATCTGATGCGAGACGGAACACCGCCGTGCAGCCTCAGAACGCACCCCCCGAGAAGACATCGCCGGCGACGCGCCATGAGGAGGAAAGAGAGAGGGGAGTCTAGATGGCCCCATACGCAACCCGCAACAGCGTGTTGACACGCAGGCCAACAAGTAGATTGAACACGTACGTTTGGCGCGGCACCTTCGCCAAAACGTGAGCCAACATGTTGAACCAACACGCATTGTGTCAAAACTTACGTCTTGAACCTGGTACGTGCTGCGTTCCAACGCGAGCGTATCATCGGAGAGCGAGCCGAAGCCTGGCCCGCCGCACGTCGGAAAGAGGGCCGAACGGAGGCTTGGCGGGGGTGGGGGGGGGCCGGCGGACGCAGCCTTCGGCCCCGTGGCGGGGCGCTGTCGAGGCACCCACGGAGCGGCCCGGCTGGCACGACCCCGCCCCCCCCCCACCTGGGCGGTCGGCTGCAGGAGCTCGAAAGGCCAGGCCCTCGGCCACCCGTGGGGGCTCGTCGCAGGGAGGAGGAGGAGGAGGAGGAGGAGGAGGAGGAGGAGGAGGAGGAGAAGACGAGCGTAGGGAGGAGGAGGAGGAGGAGGAGGAGGAGGAGGAGGAGGAGGAGGAGGAGGAGGAGGAGGACGAGAGGCGGACCAGTGTACACGGAAGACGCGCATCAACCTTGATGCAATAAACCCTCCCTCCCAAGTTCTCTCATTACAAGTCCCTAGAATAATCGGTTTTCAATGCAGGAGCTGGCCCCTTGAAAGACAACCGTCCGAAGATCTCAAACAGCATGCTTCAACTCACCCAGACTCCAAAACGGGGAGATGCCTCGCCAGGACCAGCAAGAAAACACAAGCACAACAGTCTTATATCATAACTTTGACAGGGTTCGGGCACATTGCACTTCAAGAAAGGATTCGGAAAGGAAAGACACCACTAAAATACCATTCCTGGGACTTCAACGCCGCGAATGAACGTTGCTGTTGCGTCCTGACAACTCTGAACCGCTCCAGAGCACCATTCATGGGACTTCATAACCGAGAATCCACGTACATATTCCTCCAGACAACCCTAAACCGTGCTAGTACACCATTCCTGAGGCTTTAACCCTACGATTCCTTGAAAGAATTGTTTAAATCGCATGTGCGCGGCGCTAAAACGAGAACCACATTTTGAAAAAGGAACCGGCCTCCATCCTTGAAACGCGTGCACGCTTTAAAACGAGCGTGCGCGGCGCTAAGGCGACAGCCATATTTTGACAACCGCCCACCCTCCATCCTTCAAGCTGCTGCAAACGTTTGCTGAAACGAATGTGCACGCCGCTGAAGCGACATATTTATTTCGAAAACGACCCCCTCCATTCCTGAAGCTGTTGCACACTTGAAGAACGAATGTGCGCGGCGCTAAGGCGAGAGACACATTTTGGAATCTACCCCCCTCCATCCTTGAAGCTGCTGCAAATTTCACGCTTGAGGATCAATCGCTGATGAGGGAGTCTCAAGCGAAACGCCCAGCCTGGCCTTCGCACACGCCTGGGGGCGCGACAGGGAGTTACATACACGGCAAAAATGAAGGAGAGGAGGTGGAGGAGGTGGGGGAGGTTGAGGAGGAGGAGGAGGAGGAGGAGGAGGAGGAGAACGAGGAGGAGGAGGAGGAGGAGGTGGAGCGTGGAGCGTGGAGGAGGAGAGACGGGCGAGCAGGTAAGGGAGGATCGGCGAGGGAGAGCCAGATGGCATTTGTTGGTGGCGTGCGCGAAGGCCCTCGTCGCCACGGGCCTGGCCCGCCCACCTCCAGAGCCCTGGGCCGAAACGCGCGCTCTGGGGGAGAGGCCCTGGGGCTGGCTTTGCGGGGGGAGGTGGGGGGAGCCGGCCTCTCCACATCTCCCCCCACACCGTCAGCCCCGTCTGTAGGCGGCTCCATCTCCCCGCCCACCCCGCCTGTGCGCGGCCCCCGAATGACCGAGGCTGGCCTCCGCAGGCCCCCCCCGGGAGGTCGTTTGGGCCCCCCTCAGCATCAGCCCATGGGGCGCGGAGCGCCACGCGAGGCGCCGCCACGGAGGGCCGGCGGGGGTGGTGCGCGGAGCAGATTCCAACGAGACCTCGCCCTCGCTGGGTGCTGGGGTGCTGCCAGGCGCGCAGGCGTGCAAGTGACGCCGCTTTGCTGCGAGCCAGGGGGGGGCCCAGCGGGGTGGTGTCCCACGCAGACCATGCGTGCCAGTGTCGCTACATTGCTGTGCCCCTGCGGGTCCAGCGGGGTGCGGTCTTGCGCGGATCCAGCTGTTTCCCTCGCCCTCCCTGCGTGGTACCAGGCGTGCAACCGTCGCTGCTTGACCGCGCACCCAGGTGGTCCAGCGGGGTCTGGTATTATGCGGATCCATGTATATCCCAGCAGAGTGGTGTCATATGCAGATTCTCATTGAGACCCCGCCATTCCTGGGTGCTGCCAGGCGTGCAACATCGTGCGAATGTCGCCAGGTTGCTGCCCCCCCTGGGGGTCCCAGCGAAGAGGTGCCTTACGCTGATCACGATATCCCCCTCTCCCTGCTTGGGTGCCCCTAGACGTGCAACTGTCGACACCCTGCTGCGCATCTGGAGGGTCCCAGCGGAGTGTGGTAGAACTACGCGGATCATAACAACCCTCGCCCTCCGAGGGTACTGCCAGGTACTACTCTGCTGTGCGCATGGCGGGTCCATCGAAGTTCGGTCTTGCGCGGATGCCTTCCCTGGGTGCTGCCGTTGGGAAGAGGCCCAGAATTTGGCAATTGCCTCTGACGTGAGAATGTTCCTGCATGTCTGCAGATAGAGGTTACTTTTTCTTTTTTTTTGTTTGGTCCCCGTGGGGCCGAACCATGATTGTTTAAACCTACGTGCTTGAGGAGGCAGCTGCCCTAGCAGCTTCCTCTCTGGCCAGCACACGCTGGCTGATCGCACGCATCCCGTCCGTCTGGATGAGGCCTGCCATCGCAGGCTGGTGCAGCGTGACCTCCTCGGGCGGTGGCGTCTGCAGATAGAGGAACAAAGCACTGCATAAACATAAACTGTTGGAGGTCCGTGCGAATTTCTTGGATCGGCGCTGGGCCCACTGCCTGGCGCGCGGAGCGCGCCAGGGGCGGCGCCAGAGGCGCCGCCGCGGGGGCCGAGCGCCGATCAAAAAAATCCACGAGCCTCAAACGCTTGTTCATGTGCAGTCGGACCTAGGATCGAAGGACATTCTTCAAGAACATGAGACCCTCCGCTGGCCCAAACTGACGCACACTCGAGGGCACCCTCCCCCAGGATGCACAAGAATAACCAACAAGCGCGACGAATACGAGAGTACCCTCCCCGAGCCGCCCTCGATCTTCTACCTCGGTCCGAGCGTAGTTTTCTTATTCTACGAAAGGAGTCAACGAACGCTTCATCACCTACGTGCCCTCTGAAAGGCCCCCCCCCCCATGACCCCATCTTCCTCTGTGCGCCGCCGGCGGACCCAGACATCCAACGGCTAGATGTTCTTCGAGCCGCTGGCCCCTTCTTCTTCTTCGGGATCCGCTGCAGCTGGGCCACCGTTGGCACTGGCTGGCAGGTAAACTCAACGCAAACTGAAAACGACTTTGTACAGTGTCTTCCCGCGACTCTGGCGTGGCGTGATCCTTCGGCGAAAACGGCGAGCGCCGTGAACCTCTGGACTCCTCCTCTGGGGCTGGCTTCTCTTCCCGAATCGTCGTTTGATGGTCCTGGAGGCTCGACGCTGGCCTCGAGAGGCCCAATCTCGCGAAAAATCGACCGTCTCGGTCTTCCCAAGCCGCAAGATGTTTGGGGATGGCGATTCGTCCTCCATGTTTGTGTTTGCGTGTGCGTGCGTGCGTGCGTGTGCGTGTGCGTGTGCGTGTGCGTGTGCGTGTGCGTGTGCGTGTGCGTGTGTGCGTGTGTGCGTGTGTGCGTGTGTGCGTGTGTGCGTGTGTGCGTGTGTGCGTGTGTGCGTGTGTGCGTGTGTGCGTGTGTGCGTGTGTGCGTGTGTGCGTGTGTGCGTGTGTGTGTGCGTGTGTGCGTGTGTGCGTGTGTGCGTGTGTGCGTGTGTGCGTGTGTGTGCGTGTGTGCGTGTGTGCGTGTGTGCGTGTGTGCGTGTGTGCGTGTGTGCGTGTGCGTGTTGCGTGTGTGCGTGTGTGCGTGTGTGCGTGTGTGCGTGTGTGCGTGTGTGCGTGTGTGCGTGTGTGCGTGTGTGCGTGTGTGCGTGTGTGCGTGTGTGCGTGTGTGCGTGTGTGCGTGTGTGCGTGTGTGCGTGTGTGCGTGTGTGCGTGTGTGCGTGTGTGCGTGTGTGCGTGTGTGCGTGTGTGCGTGTGTGCCGCGTGTGTGCGCGTAGTGTGCGTGTGTGCGTGTGTGCGTGTGTGCGTGTGTGCGTGTGTGCGTGTGTGCGTGTGTGCGTGTGTGCGTGTGTGCGTGTGTGCGTGTGTGCGTGTGTGCGTGTGTGCGTGTGTGCGTGTGTGCGTGTGTGCGTGTGTGCGTGTGTGCGTGTGTGCGTGTGTGCGTGTGTGCGTGTGTGCGTGTGTGCGTGTGAGCGTGTGTGCGTGTGTGCGTGTGTGCGTGTGTGCGTGTGTGCGTGTGTGCGTGTGTGCGTGTGTGCGTGTGTGCGTGTGTGCGTGTGTGCGTGTGTGCGTGTGTGCGTGTGTGCGTGTGTGCGTGTGTGCGTGTGTGCGTGTGTGTGTGCGTGTGTGCGTGTGTGCGTGTGTGCGTGTGTGCGTGTGTGCGTGTGCGCGTGTGCGCGTGTGCGCGTGTGCGCGTGTGCGCGTGTGCGCGTGTGCGCGTGTGCGCGTGTGCGCGTGTGCGCGTGTGCGCGTGTGCGCGTGTGCGCGTGTGCGCGTGTGCGCGTGTGCGCGTGTGCGCGTGTGCGCGTGTGCGCGTGTGCGCGTGTGCGCGTGTGCGCGTGTGCGCGTGTGCGCGTGTGCGCGTGTGCGCGTGTGCGCGTGTGCGCGTGTGCGCGTGTGCGCGTGTGCGCGTGTGCGCGTGTGCGCGTGTGCGCGTGTGCGCGTGTGCGCGTGTGCGCGTGTGCGCGCGTGCGCGAGTGAGCGTGTGCGCGTGTGCGCGTGTGCGCGTGTGCGCGTGTGCGCGTGTGCGCGTGTGCGCGTGTGCGCGTGTGCGCGTGTGCGCGTGTGCGCGTGTGCGCGTGTGCGCGTGTGCGCGTGTGCGCGTGTGCGCGTGTGCGCGTGTGCGCGTGTGTGCGTGTGTGCGTGTATGCGTGTGCGTGTGCGTGTGTGCGTGTGTGCGTGTGCGCGTGTGCGCGTGTGCGCGTGTGCGCGTGTGCGCGTGTGCGCGTGTGCGCGTGTGCGCGTGTGCGCGTGTGCGCGTGTGCGCGTGTGCGCGTGTGCGCGTGTGCGCGTGTGCGCGTGTGCGCGTGTGCGCGTGTGCGCGTGTGCGCGTGTGCGCGTGTGCGCGTGTGCGCGTGTGCGCGTGTGCGCGTGTGCGCGTGTGCGCGTGTGCGCGTGTGCGCGTGTGCGCGTGTGCGCGTGTGCGCGTGTGCGCGTGTGCGCGTGTGCGCGTGTGCGCGTGTGCGCGTGTGCGCGTGTGCGCGTGTGCGCGTGTGCGCGTGTGCGTGTGCGCGTGTGCGCGTGTGCGCGTGTGCGCGTGTGCGCGTGTGCGCGTGTGCGCGTGTGCGCGTGTGCGCGTGTGCGCGTGTGCGCGTGTGCGCGTGTGCGCGTGTGCGCGTGTGCGCGTGTGCGCGTGTGAGCGTGTGCGCGTGTGAGCGTGTGCGCGTGTGCGCGTGTGCGCGTGTGCGCGTGTGCGCGTGTGCGCGTGTGCGCGTGTGCGGGTGTGCGCGTGTGCGCGTGTGCGCGTGTGCGCGTGTGCGCGTGTGCGCGTGTGCGCGTGTGCGCGTGTGCGCGTGTGCGCGTGTGCGCGTGTGCGCGTGTGCGCGTGTGCGTGTGAGTGTGCGTGTGCGTGTGCGTGTGCGTGTGCGTGTGCGTGTGCGTGTGCGTGTGCGTGTGCGTGTGCGTGTGCGTGTGCGTGTGCGTGTGCGTGTGCGTGTGCGTGTGCTTGTGCGTGTGCGTGTGCGTGTGCGTGTGCGTGTGCGTGTGCGTGTGCGTGTGCGCGTGCGCGTGCGCGTGCGCGTGCGCGTGCGCGTGCGCGTGCGCGTGCGCGTGAGCGTGCGCGTGCGCGTGCGCGTGCGTGTGCGTGTGCGCGTGCGCGCGCGCGTGCGTGTGCGCGTGCGCGTGCGCGTGCGCGTGCGCGTGCGCGTGCGCGTGCTCGTGCGCGTGCGCGTGCGCGTGCGCGTGCGCGTGCGCGTGCGCGTGCGCGTGCGCGTGCGCGTGCGCGTGCGCGTGCGCGTGCGCGTGTGCGTGTGCGCGTGCATGTGCTATTGCGTGTGCGTGCGCGTGTGCGTGTACGTGCGCGTGCGCGTGCGCGTGTGCGTGTATGTGTGCGCGTGTGCGCTGTGCGTGTGCGTGTGCGTGTGCTATTGCGTGTGCGTGTGCGTGCGCGTGTGCGCGTGCGCGTGCGCGTGCGTGTGCGTGTGCGCGTGCGCGTGCGCGTGCGCGTGCGCGTGCGCGTGCGCGTGCGCGTGCGCGTGCGCGTGCGCGTGCGCGTGCGCGTGTCCTATATGTTAGGCCTCCGCTCTAAATAGATGTTCCCTGCCGGCCACACATTGGCCTTGCCCTTCAGCTCCGCGGCTCGGGGGCTCAGCTCATCACCCGCTCGCTGCGCCACGCCGAGAGGTTCCCGCGGGTGGATCGCCCCCGAGCGGCCCCTCCAGCTGGTAGCAAGACCTCTTGAGCCAAGCAGGAGCTAGCCACCATGAGGGCTATCTCGCTGCAGTATCCAGTTGAGCAGTCCAATAAACTGTTTGGGGGATCTCTGGGATCGGGAGAAGGCCGGCAACCCCGGACCGCCTGCCACCCACAGCAAGCAGGAGCCCGCCACCCCGCCATCCCGCCCAGTGCCCCCACGGCCTCGCCACCAGAGGAAGTTCAGTCCGCTGCCACCGTCGCTGCGACCGAGAAGGAAAAGGATACGCCCGTCCCTCGTCGGATCCCCTGCCGCGAAGTCCTTGGATGATAATGGGTTTTCCTCATTTAATCCTGGGGGCGATTTAAGGTCCGGCCCGAGCGAGAACCCGACCCCATGCAGTCCGACGTGCACGGAAGGGTGTCTCCTTACATTTCCAATTCCAGCGCCGATGCCCATGCTGGCCCGTTGTTCTCTATTCCTGCTTCCACCTGGCTTTTGGCTCGAGCCTGGTCAGGCATTCACACGCACGCTGAGCAGGATGCGTGGAGAACACTTCGCGAGTCCATAGCGCACCAAACTGGAGGCGAGCACATTCGATCGGTCAGCGGAGTTGTTTCTGGATGGGCCGACGACGTTGAGAAATGCACGCAGTGGCATCGCGGTCAGGATCAGGACCCCACCAAGCCCACCCGCGCGGGTGGACCCAGGCTCGAGGTGCATCAGGTCCAGGACAACACGCACTTCAGATACATGCCTTTCTACGATGCGGCGGCCAACTGGCAGGCAAAGACGCGCGCCATTATCCGCCAAATCATGCATAATGTCGCCAAACAGAACGGGGGCAAGCAGGCGCGATCACTGGCATCGGCAGCTCTCTAGTCGGTTCGGGAAAACTCACATCTATCATGCGGCAGCAATGTTTGCAGTTTTTAACGAGGCTGGGCGAACATACGCTGGATACGTTGCCAACACCATGTGATGATATGGAGGTTTATCGTTCGACGAGCACGCACTAGCGCCGCCAGCAGTTCTTGGCGTGATTTCAAACAATGGGTTAGGGACGGGGGGTGAGACGGCACGCATGCTGCAGCTCGCACGGCCTCGCGTGGAGCGCGCGCGAGGCATCGGGCCGACGGGCCGAAAGAAGCAGCCGCGGGGGCGGCGTCCTGCAGGGCACAGAATGCAGATGAGGCCTAAGGATTAAGGGCGAGTCGGGTCGGGTCGTCGTCGCGTCGTCGTCGTCGCCACGGTCGTCGTCACGGTCGTCAAAATCTCTGATCAGGTCGC